GGCTAAGTGAGCGCGCACAAAAAGTGATCTCGACAACACATCTCAACATAAAATCATTAGGCATTTTGTATATACGGGTTTTCTCATATATATGGTTCTCACTTAGTACATTATCAACCAATACGAAATCACCGCATTTAAATTTTCAATATCTCTCCGTCAAGTTTAAAAACTCACGTTAGTATATATTCCCTTAAGTTGGAGCCTCTTTGAGCATTAATGAGGTTAATTATCAACCACCATCTCTAAAACTCGACCTAGCCTAACTGTTGACTTTGATATCGATGGTTATGAGAGATAATGAGAGTCAACAAATGTTGGGACTCACATTTGAGGGGGGAAATGTTGGATATTCATATTTGAATAGTTTCATATTGGTAAGGAATGTACGAAGTGAAAATCATATAAATGAAAATGCTTTTAAATTTAATATTTTAAAATTTTAGGTTGAAATATGGGTCCACTTATAATGATTGATGTGACTTAATCCATTGATGATAGTTCTTCGCTATCATTAACTCCTATTCACCAACAATTAATATCAAAGCCAATAATTTATCTGTATCGGATACTTAAATATAATGAAATGTGGAAGTCAAGACTTAATCATTTTCGAAGTAACATAATGTTATTAGATTTCCCTATCGTATATATAACATAAATCTATTTGAGATTACCTTTTTTTGTGGAGACACAAAATCTGATGATGTTATAAGATTCACTAAACCCAATAAATATTGGGTTGCTCAACTTTTTGACTTGTTTGTTCAATTATACTACATTTAAGAATGGAAAGGGCCAATAACTACTAATAAAAAAATGAAAATGACGTTTGGCATGTGCACTAGGAAACTCGATCTCATATTTGTTAGTTAAAAACTTAAAATTATCTTCTTTCCAAGATGCTTTATTCCATTAATATCAAATTATATTCTCTCCTACAAATGGCAAGATTATCAAATTATACTTCTAGCTGCATAATTCCTCGCTTAGGTTGAACTGACGTGACTTCATTATCTTCAGAGGCCATCTTTTCAATTTGCTCAATAGCTCTAGTTGGAGTAATTTCCCTGATACTACATCCAGCTGCAACATTAAGGAGTACTCTATATGTTGACATAACCCCTTTGTAAAAGATTCACACCTTCTCGCCATTTGATATAACGTACTGCAAGCATCTCCTTATTAATTCCTTGAATCTCCCCCATCGCACACACAAGAATTCTCCTTCGAGCTGCTTGAAGTTGTCAATTTGTTCCTTCAACTCAGAGAATCTAGAGAGTGGGAAAAACTTCTTTTGAAATTTTTCAACTAATTCTTCACATGTAGAGATATTGTTAGCAGGTTGCAATTTTAGCCAATTAAGTGCTCTCCCTTTTAAAGAAAAGGGAAAAAGCATCAGTCGAATTGCTTCTGAAAGTACCCCATTAGCTTTAATGAGACTACACAATTGTAAAAATTTAGTAATATGGCGATTCAGGTCTTCAATCGGGTCTCCTTCGAATTGAATATTTTGAATTAAATTTAGAAATGAGGCTTTTATTTCGAAGTTATTACTCGAATTTGAGGTATTCTAATACTCGTAGTCGGATGCGAGAAATTATGGTTTAGGAAATGGTTCATCAATTCCTCTCGTGGATTTTGATTATCCTTGGCCATGACTAGTTCTTCAGCAAGACTGGAACTTGATGCGTCTTGTATCCTCTCTATGGTCGTGCGCTTCCTATTAGTTCTTTCTATTCGTCTTAGCTCTGGTTTGTACTGTAAATTACTGGGGTTAACAGTGCCTCGCAGATGCATAAACCAGAAAGCAAGCAAGTTATAGAATCAAAGCATGAGATCTATCAATTGAACATAATAAATAAATTTTAATGTCAAATATAGTTCAAATAATAATTAATATGATTAAGAATATATTGTTAATTAATAAAATCTTAAAAGATATTAAAAATACCAACAACTAGATAAGATATTAAAAATGCCAACAACTAGATAAGATCATCTTTACAACTGACTTATCCATCAGATTGGTGATTTGTTACATTGAACCAGAAACAATATGAAAAAGGATTAGAATTTTATCTAGTTGTTGGTATTTTAACATCTTTTAGATTTATTATTTAATACTATATTAATAATCATATTAATATTTATTTAAAGTAATTTTAATATTAAAAATAGAGTGTCTTTGACATTTATCATATATATATATATATATATATATATATATATATATACGGGAAAAATATTTCTCAAGCTGTTTGAGATAAGTTTATCTCCAGCCACTCTAAAACTACGTCGTTTTGTTTATTTATTTCCTTATATTAATTGATTCACTTTTGAATGGTTATGATTCTTTTTTCTCTCTTCCTTTATCACCATTGATTCATTTTTGTACGGTTATGATTTAGTAGTCGGAGATAACATTGTCTCAAGCAGCTTGAGAAACGATAAGTCCTATATATATATATATATATATATATATATATATATATATATATATATATAGTGATAGGATCCGTTTACAAATTTTTTTTGCAAATTACACTAAGTACGACCGGTCGTAACTGCATGATTAAAGTATGACTGGTCGTACTTAGTGTAGTTTGCAAATATAACTTGCCTCATATAGTCATATATATATATATATATATATATATATATATATATATATATATATATAAAGATAAATATAATGGTGAAAAAAAAAATGCCGTATGTGAATCGTCAGTGTTGTAAGCATTTTCAAAAGGAAAATAGTGGTGAAAAAAAAAAAAAGATGGCGTATGTGAATCGTCAGTTTTGTAAGCATGTTCAGAAGGAAAAAGTACGTCTATAGGTAGATCAATAAATTAATGTTGGATTGCAACATCGTAACTGTAAAAGTATAATCTTAATTAAGGGGCAGGCACGGCAAAGCCAAGTGGGTAAAGCCGAAAGCTGACTGTGGTTGCGGTAAATGACGACATATACAATGCACAAACCCACCACATTTCCCAAACTTGAGCTGTGACGTCTATGCATATGGCATCGGGGCAGGTAGCTTAATTCCTCTACGCAATTTTTTTGCATCAAAGTACATGTGTGTAATTAGGGATGTGAAAATAGGTTATAACATGCGAATGGATTAGCTACATGATATTAAAATTTGTATTCGAGTTGATGCGTAAAATTTCTTTATGTTGTATTCGTGTTAGAAAAATATGATCTATGAAAATTTTGTGTCTTGTCACATGTTAACACAAATTTGATTTTTTTTTTTTTTTTTTTTTTTTTTGTAACTTCAACCAATTTTTTAAAGTTTTTTCTCAATTATCATTTTACCCAAAATTTACGTGTTATTCGTGTCATGTCATGTCAATCCGTAAAATTTACGTGTCGTGCTCGTGTTAATGTATTCGTTTCGTATCAAATTTCTTTAGTGTCGACATAAATTGACACCCTATGTGTAATGACGCATCATTAACACTGTATTGTGGGATATGTTAATCTTAATGTCCATGCTTGTTTGAAATTATTTAATTGAAGAGTTTATGAAGATAGAAAGTTACCCATTTCAAGGTTAGAGTATATTACAAACTTTAAAAAAAATTAGTGATATTTACATGCACATGATCACTAACAAAAATTAAATCTAAAGGCTTTTTTATTAATTAGTGTTATTTTATTTTATCAGCTGTACTCACCCTTTATTAGTTTGAAAGCGCTTTGTTCCTGCTTCCCAGCTGCGACATATAGGCATAAATGTTTTAAAATTTTCCCATTGGATTTATTGAGAAACGACTATGATGTATCCCTGACTTCAACGCATAAAGTTATCAAAATATTTTCGATCATCTTTTTTCACCGTTTTATGATGTATATAAGGGGGAGATTATTGGAATATTCAAATGTGATGAGTCTTATATTGGTTGGTAATAGACTAAGTGAATGCATATAAGTAAAATGACCCATGAATCATTGTCTTAAGGTTCTATGTTGAGACATGATATCGGATGCACTTAATACGATGGTATAAGCTTAGTCCATTAGTGGTGGTTTCCCATCACGAGCTTCTCTTGGACCCGCCTGACAATGGTATCAAAGCCGAAATAGACTTGGACTAGCCAGGTGTTTGGCTAGAAGGCGAGTTGAGTACTTTGGGCCTAAATACTCAGTTGAGTAGGAGTATACCAATCTTGAGTTTCACACTTGAAGGGAAAATTATTGGAATATTCAAGTTAATAACTTCCACATTAGTTGATAATGGATTAAGTCAAGTGTATATAAATGGAAGAATCTATTAATCAAATGTGTTAAGATTTTAGGTTGTGACATAGTGTCGATTCTACTTGATATGGTAGGCTAGCTTAGCCCATTGATGATTTTATGAATTCATGGGTCATCTCATTTATATTCACCTGACTTAGTTTATTATCAAGCAATATGAATGTGGAAGTGTATCATCCTGAAATATTCCAACAGCAGCTTACACAACTCACATTTTCTAAATTCTAAGGTGGCAAACTCTAATTCATTTGTTACCTTAGTTATGGCAATGCGTCATTTCAACATCAGCCAAAGGTAGATTGGACGATATTGCAAGCAATTTAATGCCGCAAAGAATATTATATTAAAACGAATGTAGAGTCAGAATATTGACGAAATTTAATTTATAGTGAAATGACAATGATCTATCCCCTACTTAACCACATAAAATTATCAAAGAATTCTTTCCGGTCGCCTTCTATATCTTTCTTTCATGATGTTTAGGGAAACGACACAGCACATCGGCATTCACAACTCACAATTTCTTAAGTGGAGACTCTAAGCGTCATTTCCACATCAGCAAGACGTAATTGGACGATAATGCAAATAATAAATGCCGAAGAATATGCTATGCACTATTTTTATATTAAAACGGAAATTAAATCAGAAGAATGATGAAATTGCACACTTTTTTTTTTTTTTGTTGAACAAAAGGGGCCTAGCCCCGGCAACAAACAAGAAAAGAAAAACAATCAAAGACCAATCCTACGAAAGTTCCCTATGCCAGAAGCATTAGCTAAAATGTGAAAATTTAGATCAGGAGGAGGAGGATCAAAGAGACGAATAAATGGATCCTGAATCTGATTTTCCAAAGCCAAATTAGCCAACCAGTCTGCACACTGATTAACTTCCTTGTAGATATGCTGGAAAAGAACCCTCCAGTCCATAGCCAGCCATGCTCGTATTCGAGTCACTAAATGGGACTCGCGAGCTGCATCACCAGAATTGGTGAGCACCGCAATAGCATTACTTGAGTCACTTTCAACTATAATTTGCCTTTTCCCATCGCTCCAAGTCATTTCTAAGCCTTTAAGTATATCTCATAACTCAGCTGTAAGAGCAGTGCAATATCCAATATTATACGTAAATCCCCCCCCAACCATTTGCCTGCATTATTCCTCATTAAACCACCACACGCAGCAGACCCTGGATTACGCTGCTCCATCTGTGTTTACTTTAATCCAGCTTCTAGTGGTTCCCAATAAATATAGACTTCCGTGAAACTGCAACTGGGGGCAGATTCCCTTTGACATTTATATGCATCATTTATCTGAAGAGCTGATGATCTTAAAAAATTAGTATTCTTTATTCTCTCATCTATTTCCTGCCCATGTACATAAGCATTACGCCACATCCAAATTTGAGAGCAAGTTAGACAGAAAAAAGATAACCAAGGAATCCCTCCCACCTGAAACTTTTTTCCCGATAAATTTCTAGATAACCATAAAGTGAGATCATCTTGAAAAAAATTCTCTACCATGTTTGCATGAATGCTATCCTCCCACAAACTCTTTACATATTCACAATCTCTTAAAACATGGAGAATAGATTCATCAAATTCCAAACAGATTGGACATATAGGACTCACCTCCCCCCACCTTACCACCAACGATCTAGTAGGAAGCCGCTGGTGAAGGAGTTTCCACATAAAAATTTTGACCCTTTGTGGACCTTTCCATTTCCATAAGGTATGCCAAACTTTATTTTGCTGGTCAGATTGTTGACTATTATCATCCAAAAACTCATAGAGAGCTTTCATAGAAACCCCTGAGTCACTCTTTAGGTTCCATATTTTCCTATCCGGGCCATCTTGAGAGTTTGGAGGAAGGAAACTTTTAATACTTAAAAGAATAGTCTCTGGGAGCCACTGTTTCATTTTTTCCAAGTCCCAATCACCTTCATTATTAACAAACTCTGGGACTGTTTTATGGAGCTCAGTTGACGGAACTGTTTGTGTGGCAAAATTTGTAAGGATATTGTGATTATTCTGCCATCTGTCATGCCAAAATCTGATCTTGTTTCCATCTCTAATCTCCCATGTACTACTTCCTTCTAGACAATTCCAAAGTCTGCAAATATTTTTTCACAACCGGGAGTCTCCTTTCTTATAAATGAACATTTCACCACCTCTTCTTTCATTACAGTATTTACCTTGAAGAAATTGCAACCAAAGAGAATTTGTATCTAAATATATTCCACGCTAATTTGACTATAAACGCATCATTCATCAACGAAAGCTTTTTCAATCCCAAACCTCCTTTCTCCTTTGGTTGAGTAATGTTATTTCAACTGATTAAATGAAGACGTCGATGGTTATCCGTGTCTCCCCATATGAAATCTCGTTGAAGCCTTTTAATTTGATCACAAATAGCTAAAGGTATTTTACCACTTTGCATGTGGAAGGTAGGAATTACTGACAACACAACTTGAGATAAAGTAATTCTTCCAGCTTGCGATTAACACATACCCGACCAGCCCTTAAGCCTCTGCTTTACTCTTTCCACTACATCAGAGTAAGAATTTTTTGTTACACGTCCATGTTGCATCCAAGCGCCCAAATAACGACCCACATTTCTCACACGTTTGAAGCCACTAGCCTCAGATATAGAAGAAGCTACATCCTCTGGAGTATTCTTCGAAAAGAAAATAGAGATCTTTTGAATGCTGATTTTCTGGCCAGAAATCTCTGCAAAAATTTGGAGACATTTTAACACTACTTGCAGTTGATCTTGTGAAGCTTCAACAAATAACATAAGGTCATTAGCAAACATAAGATGTGAGACTTTTGGCCCTTCTTTTCCCACCTGTATTGGTTTCCATAACCCACCATGCACAGCTGTATCTATTATATGAGTTAGTTTTTTCATACCCATTACAAAAAGATAAGGGGAGAGGGGATCGCCTTGATGCACTCCTCTTGAAGGCTTGCAAACCTTAGCAGAGAGCCAAATTATGAAAGATGGATAAATTGCACACTTTATCTCTAGTATCTTAGGTATACAATCTTTTGACTTATTAATTAAAAAAATTAATTTATATTGTATAGAGATATTAAACTGTAATGAGATAAACAAAGTTTCAAAATAACAATTTTTGAAAATGTCTCTTAATTATTATAGTATCAGATGAGTAGGCAATATCTATCTCTCTCGAAATATATATCCTAAGTAATGAGATAAAAATCTTTCAATTCAATGTAATATATAGTAGGGTTTTACATTAGTCATGTTGCAAGACCATTTTTTTTTTTCCAGATGACTCATGAAAAATAGTGCTGCACTTTTTTTTTTAAAATAAAACGATGGGTCTTATATTACAAAATTTTATTTATGTGGGCAATATTAATTAATTAGTTTTGTATTTTTAAAATAAATCGGATTAATGGATATTCCAATTGTATTATTTTGACTAGCCCATTGTGATCATATTGAGTTGAACTTATGGCATCGGTTAGTATTGGGCAGCAATGTAAGCTTTAGTGTACCCTAGTTTTCCATGATGGATGGATCCAGTGGACACAAACTCTTTTTAGGGTATTTGGCTATGTCCCATCTCTAGCCTATTTATATTAGAATTAAGTCCCATGAGGCACCATACTCCCATCGCAAGAAGGCTGCCATTTTGGAATAGGTCATAGAGAGAAAAATTATAGTCGTGAAATCAAGGTTCTTCACTTGATCAGTAGATAAGATGGTCCAATCAAGTATTCCTTATTCTTTGTTTTCGAATTATTGTTGTATGTGGTGTTTTATATATCATATATGTATTAATCCGATATAATCATAATTTTTTTCTCACATTTGGCATCAGAGCTAATCATATATGAATATAAGACCCACAATTTTTTTTATAATTCGAAATTTGCATATAGAACCCAAAGTTACTATAAAATTCCTTTTGAAATTTTTTACCATTGATTATGGAATTTTTTTGCCAGAAATAAAATTTCATTTTTAATAATTTCCTAATTATTTCAATATAGAAAATGGTACAAGTTTCCAACTATCTCAATATGCATAATCAATATAGGAAATTCGGCATGTCATTTTCTTCGGTGACGGCCCTTACGTTTTGCTTCCAAACGTGGATGCTTCTTAGTCGACCGTATAAATATAATTGTATTTCACTATTTTGTTCAATACTCAGGACGCTTTTGTGATCTTCTAATTTAAAAACATATTTTATTTATTTAATTATTAAAGAAATGTGCACATGAAATTATTGAATAGATTCTCAAACATAGATGCGGCATGGGCACAATGCTCATCGGAATAGGGTCTCTATGCTTGCTGAACAACACAAATGATCAAATTACTTCCGCAGCGTTGCTTCCAATGGAGCTGTTATAAAGAATATTTTTAGGATATCTTTATTATTTGTAAAGATCTATTTCCTTATTTCATTAGGATTTAGGTTAAGTGTGGGCTAAGCGGTAAGAACTCGCACCGTTAATTTAGGAATTTAATTAATTAAATAAGAGAATTAAGAAATAATTTCATAATTGACCCTAATAATTATGAGAATGCTTAAATAGTTATGGTAAGTGGTTAAGAATGTTGAAAGTCGCTTTTCTGACGAAAAGTGCAGATACCGGCTCTGCTTCTCGGTATAGATGCGTACCGATGAAGTGTCCCGAAAAATTATAATAAGTATAGGAATATTCCTAGAATAATATATAGGACCAACATAACAAGTTTCAGGTCAAAATAATGAGAACTGGTGCAAAAACTGATACTGGCGTTGTAAAAGCGCGTACTGGAAAAGTACTGCGAAAAATAAAATAAAAATATGACAAATCTTAAAAAAATGGCTAGGTTCAGAATCCCAAGTTTGAGATTAAAATGATGAGCGTAGCTATTAGAGCTAATACAATGTGATTAAAGTTAATGAGCCTATTTATACCTTGTGGCACAATGCCCTACGTCAGAATACAAAATTTATACGTTAGTTTTAGACCCCTTGGCTGCTGGTCAACCTCTCCTCATTGCCACCTCCATTTTCCCTCCTCTTGTGAGACCATTTTTCTTCTTGCTTTCTTCACCAAAACACATTGTGGGTGTGAGAGCTTGCATTGGGAGTAAGTAGGAGACTTCATTCTGAGTTGAAGGTTCAGTTTTGGTGTGAGTTGAGGGCTGAGTTGGTGGTTCCCATTGGTGAGAGTCATTTTCTTACCATTGAAGGCCCCAAGAAGCTAACTTTGTGAAGAAAGGACCTTGCTTGATCAATATTTTCGTGGTCCTCTTAAGTCATAACCATTGTGCTGTGTAGAGGACTCCAAGTCAGTGTCATTTTCGGAGTTTTGAGCCTTGGAGGTATACCATGATCATATTTTTTGTATTTTTCATGATTTAAGCTTGTTTAATCCATTAAAAAGTAAAACTTGGATCATTTGAGTTAAGGACTGTGTTTCTGAGTCTTAAACATGTTAATGAACATCTGTTTATGCAGTCATTGGACTCCAAATCGAGTTTGGACATTTAAAATGGGACTTATGCAGAGAATGCACGAAATTCTGCATTCTGTCTTATAAGTATTCGAATACTTTTTGGGTAGTATTCGAATACTTATCCCTTGGTAGTCGAATACTCCTTGTAGGAGTATTGTGATACTTTTCTGGGAAGAAAAGTATTCGGATACCGTTGAATAAGTATTCGAATACTGGGTAGTATTTGAATATTGCGGTATTTGTATTCAGATACCTGGTGGTAGTCGAATACTGGGGGTTAGGTATTCAGATACCTTGTGGTGTTCGAATACTCAAGTGAAAGTATTCGGATACTTTCTGGAGACTTGGAGTATTCGAATACTCATCGATGAGTATTCGAATACCTCCTGCAGAATTTGCACGAAATGACTTAAAATGTGTTGGAAAGCCTTAATCACTTAATGGAATCTTGAGCAATGATTATTGATGATTAATTATTGTATAAACAGATTGTGATTGTGCTGTTTATGGGCATTGAGCTAGTGTGAGCTTGGCTTGGATAGTTAGCTTGTGAGGTAAGCTTTCGTGTCCTCAGTTTAGCCATTGTTGGTTCCACCATACCCCATGGGGGGATGGTTTGTATGCATGATGTGTTTTCATGTATTGATTTTGAAAAGCTGTTGAGTTGTTATGTGCAAGGGACTTATAATATGCATGTGTTGTTCCATCTAGACGGTAAGCCTGAGTATGTGGCGTCATACAATACGGTGATTATGTGGATGGGTGCAAGTGGCATCTTGCACTAATGTACGCAATAGACGTATGTAAATCCTGTATTTCTCTGGCCAGGTGAATATCTTTACACACATGACATGATTATCTGTTGCATTGCATTGATTTTGGAACTGATATTGTATATTGCTTTTAGAACTTATATTGCACATGTAAGTGAGCTTGAGGTGGAGAAATCCTTGAGGACCACTTGCCTTACTGAGATTTCTGTTTAGAGATCTCACCCCACGTTTGGGGCACATATTTCAGGTTCAGGTAACTCGGGGGTTGAGACCTCGGGCGGCAGAAGGCCGGAGCTTAGTTAGATATCTGTTGTTTGTGATGATATGTTTGGGTGATGACATGCTTATATTTATTATCCTGTTAATTGTTGTGAGACTATGTTGGGCTTTGTTGTCTTATTTAGTGAGCATGGGGGGTTGTCCATGCCACATTGATTGACTATGTCTTATTTGGATTAGAGTTGTATTAATGTATCAGGAATATGTCCGGACTACGTGTTGTAGATCTGTGACTTAGATACTCACATATTTATTCTATGAGGTTATACAGTGTAGATAGCTGTTTATTTGCAATTACATACATGCAATATTTTATGAAAAGGATTAAGTAATCAACTTGGTAATGTTAATGACATCATAATTGAAAAGAAAAAGTTATTTCTCATATTTAATTAAGCGTGGCATAATACGATGATATGATAGCAAACCGGGTATACACGGGGTGTTACATAAGCCATTTAGTATTTCTTTATATACTGTACTCTCTTGAATCAATTCAATATACAGATTTATTTCAATGTTCCTCTCGTCTCTTGTTATTTTACATGGTATTAGAGCCTCATGTCCCGGGTTTGATCCTCACCGCCCCCCACTTTCTTTCTAGTGGAATTTCTTTCTTCGCACAGGTAGGTGTTCCTGCGCATCGTCCATCCTTCAAGCCCAGTGGGCCCTCATCTGAGGGGGCATGTTGAGATATATAAAACCATTAATGTAACCTCACCTAATAGCTTAAGCTTTTGGGTTGAATTGGTTCTTTACAGATCTATACGCTCCAGCTTGAGAGAGTGTTAGAAAGAATATCTTTAGGATATCTGTAGAATGTCTTTCTCTGTTGTTGCCTGGTCCGCAGACTTTTTCAGTTAAAGTGGCTCCGTCGGCTTGTATCCCAGTTGCAACAATGTCTTTCCCAGCCCTTTAGGCTTATGTCTTTTTCAGCTCTTCAGACTGATGTTCATTCCAGTTGATTTGCTATCGATTTCTTCGACTTATGTTCCGTGAAGCTTCATTTTAGTTTTCTTTCTTCCCAAGATGAAGTGTCCCTCCATCTTGAGGAGGAGTATTTGAGATATAGATAATATTTAATAATATTTTTTTTAGTTTATTATGTTTGTTATTTTTCTTTAGGGTGAGTTGTAGAGTTGTTACAATCCCCACTCGTTTATTTTGATGTTATGTTTCTTAGTTTTTCTTGTTCAAGCTTGTTGCTTATGATCTATACGCTACAGCTTGAGGGGGAGTGTTAGAAAGAATATCTTTAGTATATCTTTATTATTTGTAAAGATCTATTTCCTTATTTCATTAGGATTTAGGTTAGGTATGAGCTAAGCCATTAGTATTTCTTTATATATTGTACTCTCCTGAATGAATTCAATAT